AATCAATTTTCGATTACTACTGTGGAATGATAAAATTATTTTCATCTTAGCATATATATGGCTTGCTAAACTACAACACATTTACGATTTGCCAAACTGCAGCACATTTACAACTTGCCAAACCATAGTATGCTCTATGACCACGGTCGTGTCAACCACTGTAAACTATAGCCACGATCGTATGTCACCATAGTGGCCCTACAATTATATCGCATAACCACTCTCATCAGATGGGTACGTTGTCATCCACAAAGAGTAGTTCTCACACATCTTTTCATACCAAATGGGGGAGAAACAAAACTCCTCATAGATAATAGCCTAATGGATTATGTCATTATAAATGCCATGCATAAATATTATGGTGTTAGGCCTACATGTCCATTTTCATGAAATATTCATGTATCTTAATGCAAAAATCATGACATCTCATGTATCACTAGTATTCCAACATAGCCATATCATTAACAATTTAATTTTCAAACTTAAAAATTTACTGAAACAAGTAATTACTATTTAACATCAGTCATGCAATATTTCAAATTAATTTTTCTAGAAATGCTCCATAGAATGTACAAGAAAATACTAACATTTCCATTACCGAAAGTTTGAAGAGTTCCTATGTTTTTCTTTTTTCCTTTTCTTTTTTCTTTAGTTCTCTCTCTCTTTCACTCTCTCTCTAGGAAACTCTTAAGGAAGCAAAATAAAGAAAAAGTGTGAAGAAATGGTGAGGAGAATGCCCCTATTTATAGAGAAAATGGACCATCAGATTTTTGGCAAGTGGCGCAACTCGATGAAGAGAAAAGGAGGAAAAGTTGACCAACGCGATGCGAGGACTGACGAACGTGATTAACGGACAGTTGACGAGATAACGGCAGTGCGATGACTCAGCATAAAGACCATGGACCCACTGGCCAAGGGACAATGCACGCCTCCCAAAGGGCAATAGTGCGCTGCCTAAGCCCAGGCCTACTGTGCTTGCAGGCCTACTATGCATGCAGACTACGTGCCTCATGAGCCGTGTAGACAAGATGTGAGCACAGGCGCACATCCATCTGGTCGTGAGTGCATGCATGTGCGCACCTGGCAGGGGCCCATGCAGGCTGGGGTTTTTCCCACAGTTCCCGCAATATTTTCTCTGTCGTTGTTTTCTCCATTTTTCCTAAAAATCAAGACTTAGTTATAAAATCATATAAATAGAATAAAGTAAATCCTAAAAATATGTGGAATTAAAACATCAAATTAAATAATTAACGGCCTTAAGGTCCGAATAAATAAGAGTTTTACACAACCATATTTAAGCACGAAGGTCCCAGGGTGTTACACAACGACTCCTAAATCAAAGTATTCAAGTCTATCGTGAGACGCATCAAAGAATCATAAGGGGATCACAATCTCTAGAAGCTCCAGTTTAAACACATAAATGAAGACTATGTGTAATTTTTATTTCTATGCTATATAACTTGAATACAATTAGCTAGTTGGATGTGTTTTAGAACAAAAGTACAAAGAAAGAATGAAACTTAGAGTGCAAGTAAGACAAACTTGGATATGATGTAACAGATCCAGTTTAATCCTTATAGATAGAATTGAAGATGTAACCTAAATACTAACCCCGATGAAAGATACGCTCTAATGAGATGATTTAGTTTTAAGCTAAGTATGTATGTGTATATAAAGAATGCACTAATGTTGAAATTATGAAAGCAAGGGAAACACGCACCTTTCATGGTGAAAAGGTTGGCCTTGCACAAGTATGGATACGATTGGCTTGATTGACAAAAGATGTGATGAATCAAGCTTTATGCAACACAAGGATTCTTAATCTGAATTTTTTATGAGCAATCAATTTTTTTTCTTTTTTTTTACTATGATAACAATGGAATCACTTGAATAATAATGATGGATTTTAAGTGAAACAAACACAATGAAAGATTAACACTATGGTGTTGATGTTAATCATGCAAAAACAACAATATGTAAGGGAAATAAATAAAAGTTAGTAGGATTTATTAGAGCCTAAACTTTGATAGCAAATAATGCAGCATCTGAGATCAACAAATATAATCCAAAAACCTGCACATATAATTTTATATTCAAAACTTAAATCCCTAAATAAATCTTTCTTACTTAACACATAATCAACATGTGAAGAAATAAAAAACATAATTGATAAGATACCACGAGATTAGCTCAATAAGTAGAACAAATACCCTACTAAAAAACACAGTTGAATAATCTCCTTAAGAGCACTCATAATAGCGAAAGCTAAAGTATCAAAATAAACTTGAATTTTATTGATTTGAAAGTGAAGTGATTACAACCAAAGGAGTAAGACCTTTATATAGGCATAAGCCTTACTAATTCTATTAGAATTCAAAAACTAAATCCCAAAAAAAATCTAATTACTTTATCTAGGATTTTAATAAAATATTAACTTAAAGAAGCATAAACACAATTAAAATAAAAGTTTTATCTCTTAAAAAGTGGTGGTGTTGTATTGAATTCTCCATGCTTTGTTGTAATTGAATTTGGTCTTCAATATTTACTTAATTCTTGTTGTGGAGGTTGAGTTAAAAATGCTTTAACAGGCTTGAAGTAGAAAACAAACATTATCCAATGAGAATTTCAAGGAGGGAATTCAACTAGGATAAGGAATTCCTTCTCCCTTGAGCTTTCATTTCTCTTTTATGATTAAACTCTTTAATTCATTAATTTCTTGAAGAAAAAATCCTTTTAAAACTCAAATAGGTGAATCCAACTTCCTCACCTACATTGTCGTAAGTCATAGTGTTTTTAGGACTCAAAATTTTGAAATTGAAGGAGAGAAGAACTATGAGAGAAAAAGTCTCAAGGGAGAGAGTTTCCCACTTGGGTAAGATTATTTTCTTCCCCTAACTCTCAACCATGCACGTGAAAAATGAGATTCACGCATGGTCATGCGACTTGTTGGCTCCTAAGGCCAAATGAGCCTTTTTTTTCCTTCCTTTTGGGCTTTTTTTTTTTTGACTTGAACCTCTTGTCTTTATTTATCCACTCTTGAACGAATTATTGAAAGGCTTACTTGAGCTTTTTGGATCTTGATCTTGTGATTGGTCTGTTAGGCATCATTATTCCTGTTCTAAGTGATCTGAGCCCATCATATTTCATGCCTAAGCTTTGAGATTGTCATTCGGCTTCTTTTGTGTGCATGTTTGGGCCAAAATCACAAAGATTGGTCTCTTGATCATCTTGGTCATGAGATTCCTCTTAGTGGGTTAGATGTCCTTAGCCATAGGATTCCTCTTGTCTTTCCTCCATGATACCTTAGTTCACATAACCTATGGTGTCATCAGTTATGTTATCTTATCAAGATGGTACAAAACCTATAAATACAACATCTTATTGACAACTAATTGGTAAGCTTCTATATCTCACAAATACAAGGTCCAACATATGTTATGCACTACAATAGTTGTGTTAATTTTTAGACTCACCAACATAGTAACATTTACAAAATACAAAAAGAGTTATTAGAAACTTGAAAAGCACACCTAAACAGAGAGTATTCTATCCTACTAAAAATTCTTTTAAGTTTGAAAGTATTTAAGGATTTTGATTAGGACATTTGTCTTGATTCTCGTAAGTCAATAACTAGCTTTTGTGTTTTTTAGGTGATGTTCTTATCTTATAGAGACCAAAAAGCAAAAACCTATTTCACGTTCCTCTTTAGTAGCAAAATATAGACCTCTTGCTACAATAACTTGTGAAGTACAATTGCTACATCACTTGCTTACCAATTTACATGTTTCTACTTCAACTACTACACTTTATTATGACAACTTATCAACCATATAGATTGTTGAGGATCTTATTTTCCATGAACATACTAACCATATTGAAATTGATTCTCATCTTGCTAGACAAAAGATTATAATGGTTTAATTCATCTTTACAATTTTGTGATCGATTCTTCGTAAGATTACTTAAAATTTTCAAAACAATATGCTCGTGAAAAAAGGAAAAATGATACCCATGATCCTCTGAGAGAGAGAGGGAAGCCATTCTTGATAGCCTGCGTATCACAAAAGAGCAAGAATTTTTCAAAATATTGGTCTTTAATGATTCTCAAAACGTAATGGTGCCCCCTTTCAAAATTACTTCTACTTTTCAACTCGAGCATTGAGAAAAGCCCATGTTTGAACCTCAAGCTCTAATCAACAATGATAAATCTTGTAATATTTTTTAGACACCCAAAAACTCTAATCGGTTACCCCATAATATGGCCAGCTGCTTGCTGTAAATAGATTTTGTGGGCAAATTCTGGTGGATATGTTAAACTCTTTTATGCATTAATATATGGTTATATGATAAAATATAGCTATTAACTTAAATTTTTACATAATAAATTATATTTTTGTAAGTCAATTATAAATATGAATAATAGCAATCATGTTTTTAATATTATTCTCCTACAAATATATTTTTTGTCGGATGATTAAAATTTAAAAGTACTTTTTTTAAAAAAACTTGTTTATGTATGTACATAATTAAAATTTAATAAAATTTATTTTTAATTTAAATCTTAATAAAATTTGAAAGGAAACAACTGGTACATAATGGTTCATTACTTGTAATTATCGATTACTTTGTAATTTTGCATTACATCATAATGGTAAATTTTGCTTTTTTTGTGATAAATGTTCAAATTTTTCCAAAAAATTGTTCATTTTGTTTTAAATTGTAAATAAAATAAAAATTATTTTTTATTAGACGGCTAATATTTTCATTTTTTCTTTAAAAATATAGGCACTTGTCTAGTTTTTGTTTTTTCATAAAGGTATTAGTTCGAATGGTGAATTATGCTTCGTACAGTAATTGATAAAAATTTAATATATAATTTTTAATAAATAAATAAAAATAATGTAAGTGAAGGTTGAAAAAATATATTTTACCCGTGTTATGGTAATAAACCCCCTTTTTCCCCCTTAAAAAAGAATTATCCTTTCTTTATAGTTACGATCTGACATTAACAAGAACTAACAGCCTCCTTGGTTCTATACTTCTAGTTTCTAGAACCTTAAACCTAAAACCCTCTTCTTTCTTACTCGCCTTTCCGATTGTTTCTATCTAAATCTTAGAATTGATGGCCTTTGCTTCCAGCTTTCGGCGAGTTCTTGGAGGATCCTCCAATTCTTTATCCGTTCTTCAGTCGCAGTATGCGTTGCTTCGCCACAGTTCGACTCTCACTACCCCCAAGCTTTTCGTCAGTGGTACTACTTACTCTTTGCGTTTCTTTCTGTTTGTTTCTCTAACAAATCTTCGAAACTTTATTATCGTCTGCTGTGGATATAACTACTAATCTCCCAAACTCTTTCTCGATGTAGTTCTTTGCTTGCGTTTTTTTAAGTCGAGCAGTTGCGGTTGCTTTGCATAGATGTTCTTTTCTGTTTTTTTTTTCATCTAATGGACTATGCGTGTTGACTGCTTCTCTTGTGCCTCCTATGTATCTTAGCTTTCCTTTATGTTTGTTAGATTTCTTGCATGATTCAATTGGTATTTGTTTGAAGTCTACCGTGAAGTATGAATTGCTGAGGCAGAGTAATATGACAGTAACCTTTAGTTTGAGCAGGGACTAAATCTTAACGAAGCATTTTCATTTTGTTCAATATAAAAATGGTTTACTTCATGTTGAATTGTTAATGGGAATTCTTACATGAACTTCTTTTTGCTGCCTCTAGTAGTCTTAAAGAGTGGAATGTTTTGGGATTGACAATTGAAGCAACACCTTGGTGGTCATAGCTATTCTTCTAATTTAATCACCCACTTGAGTGCTGTGGTTGCAGCCCCTTCCTTTGTGTGTTGGCAGTTAGTATAGCCATCTAAGGTTACATATACCATCCAGTCGATGTGAAGTACATTGTATCTCAGTCTTGGATATGGAATCAGGAGCCAAATAGTTAAGGAAACAATTTTACATAATACATGGAGGTCGTGGAATCGTTTCTCCTCTTGATTTTGTTATGGATGTCTAAATTTACATGAGACCCACTTCAAACCACTTAAAACTTTTTCTCCTGATTATGTTGGCTAACCTGGCAACTATTCTAAAAACTTGTTGAATATTAGTGAGTGTAAAGTTTTCCAGAAGATTCAACATATGATTATGCATGTATATGACAATATGCTGAGAAGTGTGTTTTGAGAGTTATGACAACATAATGAAAGTTGAACGGGAGATGTATATGTATAGAATTCTGTTTAGAAGTTTGTTTCAAAGTTTTTTAAGAGAGTAAATTTGAGTGAAGTAAACTCATGGAAGAGTTCTAGGAACACCTCCTAACCCCTTTGAACTCTCATTTATCAAATTCTCCAAACTGGAGAAACGAGAGGGTCTCAGTAATATTTTGGGAGTCACACTTCTTAAATACCTAATCCTATATACATTATAACAACTAAATTGTAATAATTAAAAAGATTTTTCTCATATTAATAAAATCTTTATTTTTAGATTACTTTGTCCAACAAAATAAGAATAGGGCAAGAACTCCATTTAGTCTCACTAAATATTAACTCTCAGACAAGTTTTTTATTAGAATCTTACTTTATTCTCGTATGCCTTCCTCTTCTCTAAAAGCTCCCAAGCACATACACATATGGCATACACATGTATGTACTGATATCTGCATGTCTCAAGTTAGACTCCGTCTTATCTTACTGTTTTGTACAGGGCTTTCAAGACTTACAACAGATGAAAAGCTTAAAGAGGCATTTTCTCCATTTGGACAGCTCCTTGAGGGTATATTCATCCTTTGTTTTTTTCTTTTTAAATAAAATTCATGATATATTTCTGAGCAACATAATTTTGGAGTGTTTTCTTTTCTGATTTACTGCATCAATGACGTTGCAGCAAAAGTCATAACAGACAGGGTCACTGGGAGATCCAAGGGATTTGCATTTGTTACATATGAAACTATAGAAGAGGCTGAGAAGGCTAAAGAAGGGATGAATGCTAAGTTCCTAGATGGATGGGTCATTTTTGTGGACCCTGCCAAACCAAAGGAGCCCAGACCCCAAGCTCAACCCCAAATGGAGGCTTTTGAAACAGGCTTCCGAACAAACAAGACTGTAGGATGGTGTGGGTGATGGTATTACAAATTTCAATTGTAGCACCTGATTTCTCAGCGAAAGATAATTGTTGGAGGAGCATGAGATTACTCAAATCATTTATTTTGGAGACAAAAGAAACCCCATTAGCCAATCTGCATTAATTCATCATGTTTCCTCTGTCGGACCTGTTAATTATATTGGGTGATGTACTACTGGAGTATATGAAAGTTTTTATTTGAGGACTGATCATTTGGTACTAAGCATTTCTTATTTTTAGCATTTGATTCTACAGTTGGTCCCTAATTTTTGCATTAATTTTTAGATTGGTCTTTAAACTTATCAAATCTTAAGAACGAGCACTCTGCTTTTCATTCTTGATCCAATTTAGTTCTTCCATAAAATATGCCATTAAATGCCACATCATCGAAACATCAAATTTTAATGATGTGGTAACCACATAAACAACCCTATGTGTTAAACAAACTCTGCAACATGTAACATATTTCCTTCGGTGGATGTATAAGCTTCATTGTGATCTCCAAAGAGACATGAACATCCAACACTATGACAAATTATAAAAACTTTTGGCTTTGCTATCGACTACTAAGACCCCAAAATGTTATTTTCAAAAATAAGTATGTTAAAAATATGTTGTAAAACCACAACACTACATATATGCATTGGTAGATTTATAAATTCATTCTAATCTCAAAAAAATATGAGCATTTAACAACTAACAATCATAAAACACATAATCATTTGGTCTAGGATGAATAACTTGTAAGCATTTAAAGAGTCCAATGTGATCCCGGCTAGGCCAAAATTAGTCCCAAAGATAGAGTCCCATAAGAAGTAGGCATCCTACAGGATAAACACCCTTAAGGCTGGGGCAATTAACAGCATGCACAACATGCACACAAGTCTGAAAGAAATGCCAGCGGGAGGGGGATTTTACCCACTGGGTTGAAGATGTTTACAAAGATTTATGTGAGTCCTAGACCAAAAAGGAAACTAAGTTTCAACATTCCAAGGTCCCTAAACTGTCACAAGAAATCCATTTCCAAGAAGGGAATGACAAAGATCAAGTGATTTTGGGTTTAGCTCAAAAAGGTTGGTCTAAGGTGCAAGTAGAAGGCCAAACCCGTGAGTCCAAGGAAAATCTAAAGGGAGGCCAACCTTCAAAGGCCCAGGAAGAGGCAAATCGAAGACCTTTGGACTAAGGAGGCCCACAATCAAGGAGGGTCGTGCATGCAGACAATCTTGCTCGCATGTGCAGGCATAAACATACGCTCGAGAAGGATCCCGCGCACACGGGAAACTCCCATGCTTGACAGACCCCCTCACCCGAGTCCCTCTCATTCTCTAAGTTGGATTTTTGAGTTTTTTTGTATTGAATTTGCAGCAAGGATAAGATAAGGAAGAAGAATCCAAATAAATTTTTAAAAAAAAAGCATGAATAAGTGTGCGGGAAAACAATCCTGTGGGAGAAAGACTTTCGCCCGCATGGGAGAGACCAACCTACATAAGGAGTACTATTTTGACATGTTTTTCTTATGGTTTTTGACTTATTTTCAAGTGATATTCAATCCAAAATAATTCTACATGAAGTGAAAGACGAAGTTCAAAGGAATTTTAAGTTTGCTAATTGAATTTGTCCACTATCTTTCAAAAGAATTTTAGTTATTCTTCAACTTATCTTCTTCAAATTAATCAATTAATTAAAAAGAAGATCATATCAAGACAATCGAAACCAAGGAGGAGTCTAGATTCGGTCAAAGAGGAGGAGCATTATCCAATTTAATTATGTTATTATTTTATTATTTTAGTTATTGTTTTAAGTGTATTTAATTATTGTTTTAAGACTAAGATTCAAATATACTAGAGATTAAGTTAAATTCAAGTCTTGTTTTATTAGAAGTATTTCAGTAAAAGCCTATAAAAAAGCCTCACCTTATGCTGTAAAAAACTGACTTCATTTAGATTAATAAAATTTCAGTTTTATTCTTTATATTTAGTTTCCTAAATTATGAGAGCCAGTATTCTTCAAGTGAGATTGCTTAAACCATCTTGTTGAGTAAAAGAATTTGAATTGACTTATAGAGTAAACTGCGACGTCTTTTTTAGTCCTATTTTTAATTCTTAGTTACTTTGATTTGCATTTAAATTGCTGAATATGATTCAAGTACAGAAAGTTTAATTAGAGAATTAAGTTTCTGCATACAAGTGTATATACTGGTTCATGATTAAGGTGTTTTGATCTTGGCTTCCTGTATCATTTGATATCAGAGTTTAAGCACCTATTTGAGTCTCTTATCTTTACTTGCTTTGCATACTCATGTTTGCATGATTAGCAATTAAAATTTTATTTCTAATATATTGTGTTGCATCCTACTCGAAATTATCCAATTGTTCCTTCAAGTAGAAGTTTTGCTTATCCAATTAGTAAAAAAAAAAAAAGAAAATTCAAAACCAAAAGAAAATCGATTGCACATAATAAGGCAATTAAACATTCATTCTGTTTTGCATCAACCATGCAAAGGAAAATTAACCATCTACTAAGTGACGAAAACCTTTGTTTTCAATGGAAGATTACCTCACCTACCAAGTGTGTGCAAAAATCTTTGTTTTCATTCTTGCATAAAGGAAAGGAAGATTACCCCACCGTAAAAGATGTGTGAAAACTGTTACTTCATATTGCATCCTTAAGCATTAAGTAAAACATCACATCTTTTTTATTTGTATGCTTTATGTTTTGAGCTTCTAGAATTAAAATCTCTCTAGATTTTTTGCAAGTTTCTTTAAGATTAATGTGCAGGTCTCGATTTAAGGAGATTCAAATTCCGAACGCGCAACGTGAGGAGAGAAGATTGAGTGATTAAAACACAATTGAAAGTGAGGGAGATATGGGTCTGAAAGCGGAGACATAACGATGTCTTCCTATGTAGAAGGTTCCTAGTGTACCTCGGTACACAGTAAATTATTTTCACCTTCTTATGCATTCTTTATTTTTACAAGAATCAAACGATGATGAAGATACAGATTCGAGGATGAATCTTTTTGAAGAAGGGGAAGATGATATGATCCTGGCTAGGCCAAAATTACTCTCGAAGATAAAGTCTCGAAAAATGCTGTTTCTTACAGGATAAACACCTATAAGGCTAGGGTAATTAATTGCCCACACAACATGTGCACAAGTTCGCCTAGGAAACAATTACGTAAAAAAGGGATTTTACCCACTAGGATGTAGATGTTTATAAAGATTTCCATGAGTCAAAGACCAAAAAGGAAACTAAGCTTCAACATTCCAAGATTCTTAAATTGTCAAGAAATCCATTCCTAAGAAGGAAAGGACCAAGCTATAGTGGTTTTGGGTTTAACTTAAAAAAGCCAGTCCAAGGTGCAAGAAGAAGGCCTGACCTGTGAGACTAGGGAAAATTTAAAGGGAGGCCAACCTTTAAAGGTCTATAAGGAGGCAAGTCCAAGGCCTCTCAGCCAAGGAGGGTCATGCATACGGGCAGGCTTGCATGCATGTGCGGGCATGTACGTATGCAGAAAGGGATCATGCATATGAAGGAAACTCCCATGTGTGAGGGACCCTCTCACCCGAGTACCTCTCCTTTTCTAAGTTAGATTTTTGAATTTGCATCAAGGATAAGATAAAGAAGAGGAGTCCAAAATTCGTTGAAAGAAAAGTCCTAGTTTGCAGGAAAGCAATCCCATAAGAAAAAGACTCCCGCTTGTGGGAGAGACAACCCGC